AAGGAGACTTGGACTGTTTTTGTGTCAACATAAAATATTAAATGTAAGACAAGACATTTTTTAAAAGGCATCAGAACTTAGAAAAATAGGTGAAGTTAGTAATTATATAGTGTAAAATTAATTTGCTGATTTTTGGCTTTGCGTGATTTTAGAATACCTTGGCTACCATTACAGGCAGATGGATGTAGAACAGTAAATGCACTATTTGCAACCAGCTTTATTTGGTCATCTGATTAACATAATTATGCACAGGTTCAGATGCATGAAAAGTAAATCTTATCTCACCTTTTCCTCCTGTCAAGTGATGCTGCCCAACTGTGAATGCTTATGCCAAAACAGTTGCGACAGCTGTGAAGGAATGACAAAAGTATGGCAGTAATAGCAAAACATAATTGAACGGCAAAATATTAGATCCACAAATAAAACATGACAGCTGAATAGAGTAGTGTTTTGCAAAGTGGTAATGTATCTGCAGAATTCAAAGCATTTAAAGAAATATAGTTCAGTATTCTTCTCGTAATTATGGACAACAGAACTCCTTAACCACATTACAACCTGTAAAATCAGGGCCAGCTATAGTTTTATACGTGGACAAAGAACAATACTACAGTCATTTGAAAAAGCTCTTTCCATGTTCACTACAAGAATAGACCCCATTATGTATCTCTTTCTATTTTCATCCCCATGGAAATTAACAGAACTAGAATTCAGAACAGCTGTGGTTGAATCACCATCATCCTTTTCACTTTGCGTAAGAAGTCAAAATGACTCCTACATTTAAATATGTGCAGCAGTGACTTGACAAGTTGACAGAATAATGTGCCATTACGAGACAGAAAGACAGTAAACTTTGGATTCACAGAAGCAGAATCTGAGAACATTTTAGAATCTATTTATTGCTTGGCATTGAAACGTGACCAGAGGAAATCATAATTGAGGCAGAAGTTTTATGAAACTTGGAAAAGTGAAAAATACTTTACGTGGAATGAATGCAGAGTTTATAGCTAATTCTAATTAACAATTCATTTTGCAAAAGGTGATGACAAAATTAATGAATATCACCAAAATCAAAACTCGTTTTAGTGTTTCGTTTCTCCTTTTATGAATATCAATACAAATGATGCAGCTAAATACACTGACGTAAAAAGTTAAGGAACTTTAAAATTGAATTAAACAGGACTTTGAGGAAAACAACATCAAGAAAGAGGCAAACCAAAAATCTAATACATTTAGGCAATGGATAAATTTGAAGAATGCAAAATTTAGAAAACAAAGGGATTTTTGAAATGGGAAAGGGTGGGATATTCACTTTCAATTACATGCAGAAACTAGGGATGGAGGGATAGATGGAAAATTGAGAAGGTAACTTGTGTATGCTAAACAGTCGAGGGTTTAAACAGAAACAGATTTAAAATGGTAGTGGCTGAATTAGAAACACATAAAAGGTTTGAAAAACCAACATGAGGATCAGAATAATTTGTAGTCTCAATGACAAAAATATCTTTAAAGGACTTTTCATACAAGGGCAATGCGACCATTGGCAGCTCATTCCATCATCTGTTGTAGCACACAGAACAAGGAAATATTGACAAAAACTGATAGCATCATCTACAACGTGCTGTTGACTTACACTGGCCAGCTGCAGGCAATATGAGCACTTCCACACAATTACTGTCTCGATTTCAGTATGATACAGGTTGCCAGGCCTAATTACTGATTTCAAAGGGAAAAATTAGAACAGGAGCCCATGGAAGTTCATAAATCCAGAAAACTATAAGACATAGAACATAGAACATTACAGCGCAGTACAGGCCCTTCGGCCCTCGATGTTGCGCTGACCTATGAAACCAATCTGAAGCCCATCTAACCTAAACTATTCCATTATCATCCATATGTTTATCCAATGACCGTTTAAATGCCCTTAAAGTTGGCGAGTCTACTACTTTTGCAGGGAGGGCATTCCCCGTCCTTACTACTCTCCGAGTAAAGAACCTACCTCTGACATCTGTCCTTTATCTATCACCCCTCAATTTAAAGCTATGTTCCCTCGTGCTAGCCATCACCATCCAAGGAAAAAGGCTCTCACTGTCCACCCTATCTAATCCTCTGATCATCTTGTCTGTCTCTATTAAGTCACCTCTTAACCTTCTTCTCTCTAACGAAAACAGCCTCAAGTCCCTCAGCTTTTCCTCATAAGACCTTCCCTCCATACCAGGCAACATCCTGGTAAATCTCCTCTGCACCCTTTCCAATGCTTCCACATCCTTCCTATGATGCGGTGACCAGAACTGTACGCAATACTCCAAGTGCGGCTGCACCAGAGTTTTGTACAGCTGCAACATGACCTCATGGCTCCGAAACTCAATCCCTCTACCAATAAAACCTAACATACCGTACGCCTTCTTAACAACGCTATCAACCTGGGTGGCAACTTTTAGTGATCTATGCACATGGACACCGAGATCTCTCTGCTCATCTACACTACCAAGAATCTTACCATTAGCCCAGTACTCTGTATTCCTGACTGCTTTGAGAAAGAAGTATATCAGATACTTCATCTTGAATCGTTGGATGAATGAGAATGAGACGGCCAATTGGTTTTGACACACCTCTTACCATTAAGAGTCAGAGACTCTGGTCATCCCTTCTGATGTACACTTATACTGAAGCAAGATGAGATGCATCAGCTTGTCAGAGTGTCAGATTGCATCAGAATGTCAATGGACTAGGAATGAACTTTGCTTCCAATAAATCAGAAGAATTAAGAAAAATTTCAGATCAGCACTGCACCCCTTCAAACTATTGCTCCTCCCCTAAGACTGGAATTAATGAGGACTTGGATGAAGAAATTCTGTTTCCTAGAAGTATCAAGCAATGCAGTCTTCAGCAGCATGGGACAGGGTTTTTGGTGTGGGTGCTGACCAATCCCATCCTAATGAAGTGGGCTTCAACTGATGGTGAATTTAGGATCAGCACTGCTAAGTAGAATCCAATCATTACTGTTCAAATCATCTCTCTCTTTCTTTGTATGGTGCCTTTGTTTTTTGAGGATTGCTAAGCATAGCTTAACATTGTCATGGTATCACAATGGCAGCAAGTAGAAGACAGCACAGCAAGTATCTCAGTTGACACAGGGATTGAACTAAGTCCTCCGCATTATTAAGCACCACCCACTAATTAACTGAGCTAGCTGGCCCTGGTTGGAACACGGCCTGTGCATTTCAAAACAGGCAAATTAAAGACAGTAAAGGAGTGAAATGGAAAAGTGTGGGATATTCACATTCAAAAAGAAAGAAACAAGAGAAGGTAGCTTAAATAAAGTTGTGAAGTGATAGTTAGTGTCAGAAAAGCTAGTGTAATATAAGAACTGATTAAGAAAAAGAATAGTGCATTGCACAGCAGTATGTTATGCACTGTTTCTCAATAATACAGATTACAGAAATAAATGTTTAAATGTTGATCAGGTAATGAATGTGTGTTAGGATTGAAGATATAGTGCAATTACATGTAAAGGCAAGCAGTACTAATTATTATTAATAGCAGGGTTTCCTATATTAAGAATGGAACTTTTTAAACTGCTGTTCTAATTCCTTTTACCTGCTCTATGATGTTGATACATTATGGATATGGATACCAGCAATACCACGTCACCGCTGATCTTTTATTAAGTTGCCATCTGATATTGTAACAAAAACAGACACTGCTTAATGTAAATTTCAAGCAGGATTGATAATATTAAAGATGGTAACTAGTTATTCTGCTTTTGGATTGTAAAAATCTCGGTGAATTTGAAAAAACCAAAAACTTTTCCCTCCATTAAGCCACGGGTCTCGAGTTTTCTAATGGATATCTTGAGGGAAATTCTACTCAAATGAAACAAACTTATTCCACAGGTTATCATGCAAAATTACAGACATAGGTAGTGTACTCCATCCATGCATGGCCCGATTCCTTCACAAATAGTCCCACTCTCTTCCCGCAGTCCTAGCCATTAATTTTTTTCTCTGGTATTTTAATGCAATTTTAATACAAAGGATTACACAGCTACTACTGGGCAGGGTGCAATGGAGGGCACAATGTTCAGTTGTACCCCAAATATATGAAACTATTATCCCCCAAGTAGCCGATATTTGAATGTATTTGGAAAAAATTTCATTATTTATGTTAGATTTCTAACTTCCGCAAACAAGATCCCCCATTTCTTACATGCAGAAATACAGGAACAATAATGTTCTTATAAATATGATATTAGTTTATACCTGTATCTTTAGCATTCAATCATGCTCCAACAATGCTTGCTGTCTAAACAGACAGATGGCTGAAGCAAGCCCAAGATCAATAAGAACTCAGATAATATAATCAAACATTTATGTCTCACAAGAACATAATCCTTTTACGGTATCATGCCAAAATTTATTTCACCAGACTATAAACATACTACTCAACTGAGTTAAACCATGCTTTACAAGAATTATAAGAAGAGTTAAGTCATGCTATACAATTTTGCATGAAATGCCTGTGCCCACTATTCAAGAAGATGAAACTGTTTGCTTTGAAAGCGATCACTGCTGGTGTTGGAAATCCGAGAATGAAAGTAGAAAATGCTGAAAACATTCAACTCAGGCAGAATTTATGTAGTAAGGAAGGTGGGGGGGATCAATGTTTCAGATTGAAAAACCTTTAGTCAGAGCTGGAAAGTGTTAGAAATGGGCCACATAACAATTACTTCACACACCTTCCTTGATTCACAAATCCTGCCTGACCTGATAATTTTAGATCAATAAATGCCTGTATTTAAATATGAACAAGTAAATTTCATGTTCCCATGTTCATTACGGATATTCTCAATGCACCTTTTAGAAACGAACACCTTCATTTTGCCTCAAAGTTTTTTAAGAAAAAAAGCAATTACTGAAGGCAACATTGGCGCTGGTTATATTTCAATATATGGATAAAACTATGGTGCCCTTCCAACACCTTACTATCTTGTATCTCCTTACCTCTTCCTCTCCCTCGTCCTGGTATTGTTCATCTAGGTTATCCTCCTGTTGATCAGGATTTCCACCAACCTGAAAATATCAACATATAGAGATTATATCTACACATTTCACAAAAACAAACAATTTGGAAGAAAGTACCACACAAGAAGCAAACCGAGTAGGAAGATTGACATTGATATTGAAATTAAAATGTTGCAATCGAATAGAATGAAATCATATGTTCAAATATCCAGAAAACATGCAAAGATACCTGAATACATTATTTCAAAGTAATGTCCTATTAACTGTAGAAAACATTTTCTCCCAGAAAATATACTTTGATTCATTCATGGGTTGAATTTAATCTCTGCTACATTTACAAGCTAAATCAGCATGAATTTTGTTGACTGCAACTAACTTCAGCTTTACAAGCATAAGCTAACATCGGGATCACACAACAATAAAATTCCAGTGACTCAGTCTTTATGGAGATTTCATGGTGCCACAGAAATAAAAAGTGGCTTCACACAAGCTGCATTCCTAGCTTGCTGTTGAAGGACGGTACTAGAGGAGAAGTGTCACTTTAAAGGGAATAGAGTGGGGGTGAGAAATGGAGATGAAAGCACATCTTTTAAGGCTGCTTTCACAAACATGCTTATTGATTTAACAGCAAGGTGGGCAGATCTATGATAACACAGTTGAAACAGTACCCTCTTAACTTGGGAATGGGACATGGCAAAGAGAGAGAGTTATCCATACAGAAGAAGAGGACTTAAGTATTCTTTTAAACAAGCTGCTCAGAGATGTTTCTACACACCTATTGAAGATGATGTCGAGGTGTCAGTATTGGACTGGGGTGGACAAGGTCAGACGTCAGATGACAGCAGGTTATAGTCCAACAGCTTTATTTGAAATCACAAACTTTCGGAGGGTATAGCCCCTTGGTCAGTTGAAGTGATAAAGAAGCACAAAGGCGCAGCATTTATGGGCACAGAGATCAAAAGATCATACAAATGGTGTGAGTGGACCCATTTGTATGATCTTTTGATCTCTCTGCCCATTGATCTCTTTGCCTATAAATTCTGTGCCGGTGTGCTTCTCTCTCACTTCACCTGACAAAGGGGCAACCCTCTGAAAACTTGTGATTTCAAATAAACCTGTTGGACTATACCTAGTGTCACCTGACTTCTGACCTCTTGAGGATGGTGGGATATTTTCTAATCAACCTGTTCGGAGTTACTTTTAAGTACTACTGGAACAGGTGTGTCTTGAACCCAGGCCTCCTGACTCAGAGGTAGGGACACAACCACTCTTCAACAAAAGCTCATTCCTTAAGTTTTTTTTTGTAAACTACCAACCACTGCCAGTAACCATTCATGTAGCCAATCATATATTTACAAGCAAAGCCCATTATGGGCAACGCAAGCCATCAAACATGAGGGGAAGGTAGGAAGAGAGAGAAGGGACTAAATCAAAGTGGAGTTGCAGGAGGAGATAAAGCACTGTAGTGCCCATGGTGCCTACATCTCTCTAAAGGTATTGACAGCATTGATGGACATCCCATGCTCCCTTTCCAAGGACACCCTGGCACAAACGTAATCGCAGAAGAGGGACAGACAGTCAGCAGAGATGACCCCCTCCACAGCCCACCCTTAAGAATTCTTCAATTACTTAGCTAATTTGGAACAACAGTTTCTGTTAAGTACCATCAAAACTATTCATCTTCACAAACTTTTCCCTCTTACAAATACAAGGGAAATAATATAAATTTTGACAATAAACTAATTATTGACTCATGATTATATTTTGAGAAAAGAACAGTGTGGCATTTACCACTTGGTTTATCATTTTTTCAGGGCATCCAAAATGGTTTAAAATCAACGAAGTACCATTTAAATGTACTAATTAGTGTTCTGGACATTTTCTAATCAATCAGTTCAGAGATGTTATTACACACCTCAGGAGTGGGCCTTGAATGTGCATCTTGAAATGCCCTTTCAGCAGCTTTAAATATTTAAACTAAAAATCTCCACGGCTGTCAGTCTTGCAGGGAAACCGTTCGAAACTGTTTCCGACATGCTGTGACCTCCTCCCCCACTGGCCAGGAAATATTATTCTCCAGATGGTTTCTGAACTATGACTCCATTTGCTAATACTACTTGCAGTTTGCAAGGTGGCTCAATGGGGAGGTGCCAATAGATCACCTGCTGGTTGGTAATGCAAAATTAACAGCTTGCCTCCCTCTCTTCTCCATGCAAATTAGAGTGAAAATCTTGCCCTAAATATCTCAACTGAATACGGAGGAACAGTAGAGTACAAGTAGTTCAGCAACATTCAAAACACTTGAGAAGAAATTGTTCACACAGAATCAGTTCTGTTGACATAGACAGATTTATCTTGATTCCTGGGGTCAGGCAAGACATTCTTCACTGCCATTAGTAGCAATACGACATGAACAAACTTCTGCCACCTTTGCATTATTTGCTGTGGCAGCAATTCATCATTTTTGGTGACGCATTCAAATCAAATATTTTTGGAGCTTTGCCCTTTTGTAAAGACATTATTACACAATAGGAAGTTCATATTTTTAAAACTATCAGACATTCATACCTGGTGTACTTAGCAGTGCCACGGAACAGGCTGTGGCAGCTACAGGTAAAACACCCCCTTGAGTCTGAGGATTGGGGAAGACCGCAATCCGACCCCACCACCAAAGACACTTTTCCCTCCCCACCCTTATCTGCTTTCCGGAGGGACCACTCTCTCCGTGACTCCCTTGTCCGCTCCACACTCCCCTCCCGCTCCACCACACCCGGTACTTTTCCCTGCAACCGCAGGAAGTGCTACACCTGCCCCCATACCTCCTCCCTCACCCCCATCCCAGGCCCCAAGAAGACTTTCCACATCAAGCAGATGTTCACCTGCACATCTGCCAATGTGGTATACTGCATCCGCTGTACCCGGTGTGGCTTCCTCTACATCGGGGAAACCAAGCGGAGACTCAGGGACCGCTTTGCAGAACACCTACGCTCGGTTCGCAATAAACAACTGCACCTCCCAGTCGCAAACCATTTCAACTCCCCCTCCCATTCCACAGACGACATGTCCATCTTGGGCCTCCTACAGTGCCACAACGATGCTACCCGATGGTTGCAGGAACAGCAACTCATATCCTGCTTGGGAACGCCTGCAGCCCAATGGTATCAATGTGGACTTCACAAGCTTCAAAATCTCCCCTCCCCCTACCGCATCCCAAAACCAGCCCAGCTCGGCCGCACCTCCCTAACTTGTCCTTCCTCCCACCTATCCCCTCCTCCCACCTCAAGCCCCACTCCCATCTCCTACCTACCAGCCTCATCCCACCTCCTTGACCTGTCCGTCCTTCCTGGACTGACCTATCCCATCTCTTACTCCCCACTTACACTCATCTTTACTGGATCCATTCCCGCCTCTTTGACCTGTCTGTCTCCTCTCCACCTATCTTCTCCTTTATCCATCTTCTATCCACCTCCCCCTCTCTCCCTATTTATTCCAGAATCCCCTTTCCTTCCTCCATTTCTGAAGAAGGGTCTAGACCCGAAACGTCAGCTTTCTTGCTCCTCTGATGCTGCTTGGCCTGCTGTGTTCATCCAGCTCTACACCTTGTTATCTCAGATTCTCCAGCATTGGCAGTTCCTACTATCTCTGCAGTAATTTGTGGGTTGGGTTTGTTGGGGGCAGGGGGTTTGGAGGCAAAGGCGGCACTCTTTGCCTATTATTCAGTCTCTCGACAGGTGCTGATGGTCTTTTATCAAGAGTCCCACACTCCTATGAGATAAAAAGCTGCCCACAAGGTAGCAGCAAACCTGAACCTAGTGTTAACCCAGGAAACTTTAACCAAGGTCAATCCCAGCCATGACAGGTTGAGGACCTTAATGGCCTACCTCAAGGCTTCAAATGCCAGTGGTTATGGAAGGTCAAACATGGATCTATTTTTGCTGAAGACGAGAAGGCAGTGAAATCTGGCTACGCCACCACCTAACATGCCCTTCACACTGACAAGTTCACCATATCTGGGAGCAGAAGATTCTATCGACTGTTTTGCAGCTAAGAATTAAAACAAAAAGAAAACAGTACTGAAGTATTAAATATTTTTAATAAAACAAACATACAGATATTAGACACTTGATAAATTAAGTTGGTTAAGTTTTATTTTTTCCTTTTAATAATCAAAGACCTACCTACAATTTAACAATGCTAAAGATAAGACTATATTGTTCACTTCATGGTCTTTGACTTCCTCACTCTTTATTGCTGTTTCCTCAAACTCCACCAGGTGATGCCCAAATTCAGTATCCAGTTCAAACCTCAACTCAGCTTCAACACCAATATCAGCTCCATCATAAAGAACACTTACTTATTTTTTCACAACATTAACTTCTTTCTGCCCTAACCTTAATGAAAATGAAAAGCACTGCTTTGCTGCCTCTAAACTCAGGTTGCCTGCCAGCCTCGTTCCCTTCTTGCACCGCTCATGAATAAAGCTTTAGCTGCCTTAGTCAAATTATTTGAATTCTCTCTCTAAATTCTTCTGTCAGTTACCTCTCTCTATTTTCTTGCAGTCAGTCATTTCCCCTCAATTTCCTAATGCACAGCATTTAATCAGCTATGAGTAACCTGAGTGTATATTAAAGTCAACATAAAAATGCAAGATGATACAGCCAGGATGAACACTGAACTTATAACAGTAAAGGTAAAATTGCAACTCCATGTGGAAATCAGAATAGAAAATCAAATTGATTCCAAGTCCTATTTTTTATTCAAATGATCACAGTAAATTTCTGTATTCTTATAATAAACAGTACAGGCAAAGTTATGGTAGATTAATATTATAGAAATCTATCACTTCTTTTTGAACAAACATCCTTGTATGTGAAGATTCTGAACTTAGCTACAGGTCATTGATCTGACCTCACTAAAAAGGACATATAAATGCTATGATCAGTTCAAGAGCAGAGATTTAAACTGTAAGATTTGAACTGCATTAATTTGTCAGAGATAGTAGGAACTGCAGATGCTGGAGAATCCGAGACAACAAGGTGCAGGGCTGGATGAACACAGCAGGCCAAGCAGCATCATAGGAGCAGAGAGGCTGACGTTTCGGGCCTAGACCCATTAATTTGTTATTGAGTTTACTCATGCAAACTGCTTAAAATCAGTCACTGTAAATCATAATATAGTAATTTTCACCTGCTCGTGTTCTGTGTGCTGTTCCTCATTTTCTATTTCTGGGTCCTCGTCTTCAGCTTCCTCTTGTGGATTGTTCTCATCTTCAAATAAGACATAAAATTATGAAAAATCTTGCTACTCAATGCAGTTTCCCCTGGTAATAATCCAAACATGGTTCGTGCTGGACCATACTAAAGAAACCCCACTTGGAAGGACTATACTGTCAATATTTAATAATTGTCATGTTAAGTTTTAGTAACATACATGTGTAATACATTTATCTTTGATAATGGCTTGGTTTGAATAAAGGTTTGAAAAAACACCAAGAATGGTAACAAAGAATTTGGCTTTGCCTTTTTACTAATATTCCATTTGTATTATGAGGATTGATACAAATTATACAATGTCCTCCAGTTGGCCCACACGCTGTACTTCATTATAATTTACTTTTAACCATCCTCTTGTTGATAAATGACGGATGATATCTCCAAAAAAAGTCTAGAATGTACTGTTCATGATATTACCAGATATAGAACTAGCGGATGGCTGGAGAAACACCGTGCACTTCCACTTACCATTCACAGGAAGTGTGCTCTGTCAATAAGGCCAGGTTCTGATGCCCATTAATAACTATGCTGAGACGATGGTAGTGAGCCACCTTCTACAACTGCAAAAGTCTGTTTGATGCTGTTAGGTACAAAGTTGCAAGTTTTTGACTGCATTTTGATGAAGAGAAGAGTAATACGTGTGCATTAACAAAACCAGAAATTGCTGGAAAAGCTCAGCATCTGTGAAGAGAAATCGGAGTTAACATTTTGGGTCCACTGACCCTTCCTCAACTTTCCTTTATTTTTGTTTCTGATTTGCAGCATCAGCAGTTTATTCAGTTTTTAACATATGCAGGCCAGGATTGTGTGCGACTGGGAAATGGTGAAGTTTCGATACACCAACTGCCTTTGTTCTTTTAAATGTTACCGAAATTACAAAATGCACTGTCAAAGAAGCCTTGGCCAATTATTGCAGTAGATCATGCAGGTCTGGTTGGGGTTTGAACATGCATCACTCTGGAATGTAATACTTAGACCATAAGATGTAGGAGCAGAATTAGGCTATTCAGACTATCGAGTCTGCTCAGATTATTTGATCATATCTGGCATGTTTCTCAACCCCATTCTCCTGCCTCTCTCTGTAATGCTTGATCGTTTTACTAATCAAGAAATATTATTTTGCATATTTTGTGTTGTGTGATACCTGCATAGATTTGTGATTACAATAAAAATAAATTTAGTAATAGAAATAGTAACACTTTAGACTAGCACATAAAAAGCAACAATAAAAATATAGATTCAGAGATAGCAGGAACTGCCGATGCTGGAGAATCTGAGATAACAAGGTGTAGAGCTGGATGAACACAACAGGCCAAGCAGCATCAGAGGAGCAGGAAAGCTGATGTTTCGGGTCTGGACCCTTCATCAGAAAATCCTGCTCCTCTGATGCTGCTTGGCCTGTTGTGTTCATCCAGCTCTACACCTTGTTATCTCATAAAAATATAGACCCAATGCTGATGAATCTAATCACATTTTTATTTGACAAGGTGAAATCAGGAGGAATCTTCTGACATTTTTGTTTGCATATAACGCAAAGTCTTAGAAAAGGACAGTTCCACAGAAAAACAGACAACACATGCAGACAAATATATATCTGCTTATTTAAAGACTGTTGTTGATTAGCTTTGGTATGCAGTATAGTTAATATTTCATTTTTGGATAGCCAAACTGATGTGATGCATTGGATACTCCCCTAGATAACTGAGATATGAATATTGCACAACAACCATGCACAATGCTTTCCAAAAAAAAATGAAATTGTCAGTTTGCTTTGTAATTACACTTCAATTGTGGCTCCAGCAAAATTATAGATGACATGACTCACTGGGTTTTTTTTAGAAGCATTTAGAATGTCAATCTTTATTCATCATTATTTAGGCACAGGGGGCTTCTGCTATTGCGCATGTTCCAGCAACACGAATTGGCTGTAACACGATTGACGAATAGGGGAACACTATTTCTAAAATGTGAACTCGTGTTGGCTATAACACGATTCTATTGAGTAGGCATCTTGCTGTGACGAGCCCTTTGCTAATGATACCTACAGTGTATTTATGATCAGGAGCTAGCCAGAAGGGGGACACAGAAGAGGCAATGATAATGATCAAAGGGTGACACTGCCTACAGTTTACTGTTGTCTACCGGCGCTCAGGCCAGCATCATGCGGCTCATCGTGGCTCTCCTGTCGGTGCTGCCCTTCACACTTTTTGACTAGTCCTCCAAACAAGCTGCAGGAGGTTATGATTGAGACATACCTGAATTCCATTTACCGATCTTTGCTCCATAACCTTTAATTGTAAAATTCTCATTCTTGTTAGCAAATCCTCTACAGTCTTACTCATCTCGATTTCTTAAGCTCAAGCAATTCCATACTCGCTCTGATAGATCTGTGTTCCTTCAATTCCAGCCTCTGGCATACCTGATTTTCATTGCTCCACCATACTTGCCTTATTCACAGCTGCCCAACTCTGAAGTTTTGTAATTTTCTTAGTAACCCTCTCTCGCCTTCTCAAAAACATTCCTGAAACCGACTTTGACCATCAGCTATCCTCATCTGGCTGGGCGTTGATTCTTGTTTAATATTCCAGAGGAACTGGTTGCTTCATTTGAAACCCTGGTGAAGGATATTCTGAAGGAGCAAACGGTCCACGGTAAGGAAAGCCGTACCCAAAGTACCGGCTCATTACACAGAGGGCTGTGGGGGGGTGGTGGAAGTTCGAGCTCAGCCTCGCCATCATTGATTTCAAACTGCTGCAAAGCTGCTGTTACAGTCAGACCAACCTGTAGGAACAGCTGCTGGCAGTAGTGCTATCCATTGTGTTATGCTTTTTTGGTGGCCTACCCTAACCCTGCTTTTCCCATAGGCCCAATTATTTACACAGCACAATTTTCTATAACACTATCGCGTTATAGCAGAACACCCTGTATGTCCATTTATGAGGCATTTGATAATGTAAATTTGCAAAACATTGTCATAAAGTCATATAGATGTACAGCACAGAAACAGACCCTTCGGTCCAACTCGTCCATGCCGATGTCCTAAATTAACCTAGTCCCATTTGCCAGCACTTTTCCCATATCCCTCTAAACCCTTCCTATTCATAAACCCATCCAGATGCCTTTTAAATGTTCTAATCGTACCAGTCTCCACCACTTTCTCTGGCAGCTCATTCCATACACGCAGCAGCCTCTGCATGAAAAATTTGCCCCTTAGGTCCTTTTTAAATCTTTCCCCTCTCACCTTAACCCTATGCCATCTAGTTTTTGAATTCCCCCACCTCAGGAAAAAGACCTTGGCTATTCACCCTACCCACATCCTTCATGATTTTATAAACTTCCATGAGATCACTCTTCAGCCTCCAACCCTCCAGGGAAAATAGCTCCAGCCTATTCAGCCTCTACCTATAGCTCAAACCAGCCAACTCCAGCAACATCCTTGTAAATCTTTTCTGAACCCTTTCAAGTTTCACAACTTCCTTCCTATAGCAGGGAGACCAGAAATGCACAGTATTCCAAAAGCAGCCTAACTAATATTCTGTACAGTTGCAACATGACCTTTCAAATCCTATACTCAATGTACTGACCAATGCAGGCAACCATACCAAACACCTTCTTCACTATCCTGTCTACCTGCGACTTCACTTTCAAGGCACTATGAACCTTCACTCCAAGGTCTCTTGTTCAGCAACACTCCCCAGGACCTTACCATTAAGTGTATAAGTCCTGCCCTGATTTGCCTTTCCAAAATGCAGCATCTCACATTTACCTAAATTAAACTCTATTGTGAATTGTCTATAAATTCAGACCAAACAAGCCGGTTCAAAAATGCAGTTTTACAAAACTGCTAAGCAGATTAATCATCTTATATATCCTCTGACCCAATCTTACCCTCTTCCTCCTCTTCATGCACATCTTGCTCATCATCATCTTCAACAGCATCTTCGTTATTAAAAACTGACTGTTTCCTGTGATGTAAAAAATCTAGAGTAAGCAAAGTGCACATTCACAGTGCAGTATGAACAACCCAATCATTTTAATTCTAAGGAAAAACCTAAACGTATGACCAGAAGACATTTTTTAGATCACAGGTGGAATGAACATAATAATTGAAAAGCAATATTATATCAATTACAGGATGGCTTCTCATCAGTTAAATTGCATAATTTTTAAAATAGTAGCAGCTTTTGAAAATGTTGGATAAGAAACTTGGCTCTTCAGATACTATAAGTGAACATAAAGCTCCAATATAGTATGGATAATGAGCCCACATTCTAACATAGAAAAGCACACCAGATGGTTTATTTGTGAGAGCGTTAGCAAAATGCACAGAGAAAGGGAATCCCAAGGTCAATAGCATGCAATGCTGGTTGAATGGTACCGGTGTCACACGGGAGTTTAATGATCTGACTAAGCCTCTCCCTTTGCCTCATTCAGCAGCTGGAAAAGCCATCACTGACTTTCATTCCAAAATGGCACTGAAGCCCTGTCAGCTATTTAAAGGGAGCCTGAAATAAAGAGGCACTAACTGTCCTAGACACCACTATCACCATCTCTGGATATGTCCTGTTCCAACAACAGGACAGACCCAGCACAGGTGGTAGCACAGTGGTATACAGTCGGGAGGGAGTTGCCCTCGGAGTCCTCAACACAGTGGCTCCAAGAGCAGGTCAGAGGCTAGGAATACTGTAATGAATAACTCACTTCCTGACTCCCCAAAGCCTGCCCATCATCTACAAGGCACAAGTCTGGAGTGTAATGGAATACTCCCCACTTGCCTGGATGAGTGCACCTCCAACAACACTCAAGAAGCTTGACACCATCCAGGGCAAAGAAGCTCTCTTGATTGGCACCACATCCACAAGCATCCACTCCCTCCACCACTGAGGCTCAGTAGCAGTAATGTGTAGAATGCACTGCAGAAATTCACCAAACATCCTCAGACAGCATCCTCCAAGTCCATAACCACTTCCACATAGAATGACAAGGGCAGCAGATACCTGGGAACATCGCCACCTGCAAGCTCCCTTCCAAGCCACTCACTATCCTGACCTGCAATATATATTGCAGTCTGTTCACTGTCTCTGGGTCAAAATCTTGTAATGGTCTCACAAGAGCATTGTGGATCAATGCACAGCATGTGGACTGCAAAGGTTCAAGAACGCAGCTCACCACCACCTTCTCAAGGGCAACTAGGGATGGGCAAGAAATGCTGGCCAGCCAGCGATGCCCATGTCCCACAAATGAGTAATAAAAACTAATATTGCATTCTATATGAATAAGACACAAGAAACAGAAATACCTCAACAAAAGAAAAAAGTTCACCTTAATTGTTCTTCTCGCAACAACTCTTCTTTCCGTTCTGCTTCTTGCTGGAGGCGTTCCTGTCGATCCATGTACTCCCTCAGTCTGTGTTCGTGCAGTGCATCTTGTCTTTCTTTCAGTTTGCGTGATTCTTCTGCCCGTAACTCTGCTAGACGTTGTTGTTCCAACTGTTCCTCATAAGGAGACTTGTGCTTCATTTTGATCTATTCCAAAATAATAGGTAATTAAAAACACATAGGAAAGCAATCCAATTCAGATTCATGAGGTTCTAAAAATGTATGTTCTAAATACACCTATGCACACATGTTTGGCATTAGGCAAATCAACTGTTGCTGGGTCAAAATCCTGGAATTCCCTCCCTAATAGCATTGTGGGTCAACTCACAGTAGGTGGAATGCAACAGTTCAAGAAAGCAGCTCACCACCACCTTCTCAAGGGCAACTAGGGTTGGGCAAGAAATGCTGGCCAGCCAGTGGCGCCTACATCCCAGAAATGAATAAAAAAGATTCTCATGTTAGCCAACTGTTATTAGTAGGGGTAGTACAAAGATCAGTACTTGAGTCCCAGCTGTTCACAATATGTATCATTGATTTGGAGTTGGGGACCAAATGCAATATTTTCAAGTTTATGGATAATGCAAAGCTAAGTTAGAATGTGTGTTGCAAGAAAGATGTAAAGCAGCTTCAGGAGGATTTCAGCAATGTTAACCCACATCCCAAAAAATTTGTAAAAATAAAACAATAGCCTAAAAAGATTAGTAAATGATGTCAATACATTATTTGTGACACTATATGTCATCAGGTAAATATAAAAAGATTTGTGGTCATTGTGAAACACAGGAAAAATGAATTTGTCTTAGATTTGCTGTTAATTTATACATTGTGATTTGACATATATCCAAATACTTATTTGATAGTACAGAACTAGAGTATTGCTGAAAAAGAAAACAGTTGGTTGGTTTTTTTACATCATGCACTCACCTGGACAATTTGCAAGAATACCAATTTAAGGAAAAACAAAATGTATGCTGCGTGGGAAAAGAGTGCGGATTGGTTGGCAATGGACTCTGACTGATAGAGGTGTTGCCCTGGAGAATGGACCAATTAAAGATGATTGACAGTTAACTGACAAGCTTTTTAAAAACATTTAAACACGGCAGATAGCTCTGATAGGGCAAGGCTTTTCTCCGAGAAATGGATTAATGAATGCCCGTCACCTATTTTGTTGAGTTGAAACAGGCAAAGTGCATGTGTACATTTGTTCTGACTGCGAAGAACAGTGTCCTATGTCTGAATACATGTAGCTTACAGTATACAAAAGTGTTCCACACTGCACGTACTGGAAGACATATCCTTATATCGTGATGAAAATTAACACTTAGATCTTAAAGCATACTTCAGGACATTAAACTATACCGTATTCTTTACATATCTTTGTTAATTACAAACTGGCATTACTTAATTAGAAGTTTTCCTCTACTCTGTACATTGTAGCTCATTCTGAGCCATAGTTAAGAATGTACATATCTACGACAATTAAACTTAATTTACAGCAATCTCAACTCCAACAGAGTGCCGTGGGCTCAAATTCCATCCTAAGGGTTAAGATGATAGTCCTGTACTGGTGTGTCAAGGCTAAGAGTTGTGCATTCTAAGAGGCAGCAAACCTTTATGAAGATGTCAAAACAAGACCTTTCTGATCAGGAAATTTAACGTACCTCACAGTTCAATTTGAAAAGCAGTGTCCTCTGCTGTTACCTTTTCCTCAACAAATAACAAGAATAGATTGATGTAGCAATCACCCCATTGTTAGGTACAGTATTGTAAAGAAAGTCCTGCTGTGCTTGCGTCCATAATAATGACTGCAGCCCTTCAAAATGATTTTACTGTAAAATGCTTATCAAGTGATGGCATAACATAAATCTTCTGCAATGGTCGCTTTTAAACAGGACAGTCTGGAAAGCAAAACTATCTTACTTGACATATTGTTAATCTTTCAAAGACAACGTTATTGAAAAGACAGCCTGCAAACCACACATCATGTGTGGTACATGGTGCAGAATGAGCACTAATTTAGAGGCGTCTGCTTCACAAAATTAAATAGAAGTGGAAAGGGAATTAGGATAGTACTTCCACTCATTTATGAGAACAGCACCGCGCACCATTCATAAGACAATTTGTTATGACTCTGCTGCCCTCCTCTGCCACTTATGAGCAATGCAGAGATACACAGAGATACTAAAGCACTGAATTGTTTGGGCATTCAGAAACACCCTGTAAAACATCTTAAATAATACAACCTTTCAAGAAAATCATGGTGTGTCTATTTATTACAGATATATGCATCATCTACATACCTGGATACCTAAAAATTAAAAAAGATGTTAAAGTGAATATATAATCAATTTTAGGTACAGTTAAATTGGCTTTAATGCAAATGGGTTTGGTCAATCCAGAAGAAAGAAACATGGAGTCACGTTTTACTGTGAGTGCTTAAACTTTTTGTGATTACGCAGTGAAATCCATTAATTTACGCTTTGTCCTGGTAAAGCCTGCCTACAAACAGGAGACCTATTATAATCTGATGGATGACTGAGGTCAGACGGGCCATCTTTGACATCAGAACAGAAGCTGACTGTGTGTGAAATCGAATAGTCCTAACAAAACTGGAGTCAATGAGATTTGGGGGTTGGGTGGGTGAACGAGACGAGCCCTCCACTGTTTAGAATTATATCTAACAAAATAGAAGCTGGTTGCAGTTGTCACATGCATTTCTTTATCTTCCGTTTTATACCTAACATTTTGTACCTAGGTATCTTTGCACACTTTTCACTGTACTCCTCTATCTCTGTTCTTGAGTACATGTGATAATAAAACATAATTCTGATTCTAATTCTAAATTCCCAAGACATTACAACTGGAGTTCTCAGGGTAGTGTCCCAGACCGAACCAACGTCAGTAGCTTCATCAATGACCTTGCTTCCATTATAAGGACACATGCGAGGATGTTAACTGATAATTGCATTATATTCAGCATCATTCACATTCCCACAGATACTGAAGCACACCATGTCCATATCCAGCAAGACCTGGACAACATTCAGGCTTGAACTGATCGGTAGAAAATCTCATTTCTGCCATTCAAACGCCAGGTTATGATCATCTCCAACAAAAGCAACTCTAACCACCTATCTTGGCAATCAGTGGTTTTACTATCCTGGGGTTACCATTGGCCAGAAACCTAAGTGGGACCAGCTATATACTGTGGCTGCAAAAGCAGATCAAAGAATGGAAATTTTGCAGCAAGGAACTCACCTATCTGCCTCCCGAGTGTCTGACCATCATCTAAAGGTAGAAGTCAGGAGTGGGATGGAATACTCTCCACTTACCTGGATGCGGGCACCGCAAATAATAATCAAAAGGCTCAATGCCATCACAACAAGGCAGCTCCCTTGACTGGCATTTCATCCGACATTTTAAGAGTCAATTTCTCCACGACTGACTCATATTGACAGCATTGTATCCTATATACAACATACAAAAACTCATCAAATCTCCTGCAGCAACACCTTCTAACTCCGTGACCTCTAGCACCAAGAAGGATAAGGGCAGCAGATGCAAAGAACACCACTATCTGCAAATTTCCCTCCACGCGACACAAGAAAAGGGAGCACGAGACCATGAGGCCTCAAAATGAGCCTGGCTAATCTTGGGCTTACACTGTACTCACCCACCTGCTGCAAAAATCCTTTTCTACAGGTTATGCAAATTGAATGATTTAACAAAATATAACAGTAGACATCAGCAAATGACAAAGGCTAGATTGTGTAAATTATATCATTTATATATGTATTGTTCTCTTCTGGAAAGCCAGTTGGTGAAGGATAGAATTGAAGCCAATCTTTGCAGTTTTATAAGCAAGTAATTAACAGGGTTTAATGCATTACCTCGGTAGGGTTGCCTTTAGTTGGATCCTGTTCCTCCGTGTGGTAATTTTCATTGTCCTGATCATGAATCAGATGATGTTCAGTTTCTTCTTCCTCATGTTGTTGCCTATGGAGCTCTGTGTGATCCACTGTCGGATCTTCTTTTTCTTCCTGTTCCCATTCATGATGGTGCTCCTGTGATTCATACTCTTGTTTATGCAAATTTGAGCGTGCTGGATGATTATTCCTTTGCCAGTTTTCATGCTGAGCATACTGCCTCTCTTCTACTTCTTCATTATCTTCTCTTATTTTAGTGTCATCATTCTCCCCTGCTATGAGTTTAGCATGTAGCTGCACATCATTATTCTGAAATAAACAGAAATGTATAACTTTATTTAGTGCCTTGACTCTGCTCTATTGGCCTATTCACAGTTATTCACTTCTTTAAGACCTAAAAAAGAACTATTCAATATTAAGGTTGTACTTTTAAAAAGACATTTGGGATACAGTTGTTCCAATGATTGCTTCGTACATGATTGCATGTTATTCCAAAAGGAATACAATCCTTTAAGCAGTCATCAGCTGCAAACACACTGGCATGACATATGGAGTTCACACCAGTTTATCAGCCCAAAAATATCTCTCAAACTTAATGACAAAAACTTACTGCACCACTATATTTTGCTTTTTAATCAAGCCATTCTTTTGACAATCAGATTCATTTTATCCAATATTAGGCATCTTTGTAATGTGATTCTGAGCCACAAAGAACATATTTCAGGTTGGTTGAGCTATCCTCATCTTGGTTGGTAACAGCTGGAGTAATGGCAGTGTCTCTTCCCATAGTTTTCCAAAATGGTAATAATGAATCACATCAAATATACTTGGCTGATCATGAAGTGTTTGACAAGTCCTGAACTTGTGAAAGATGCAATACAAATGTAATTTCTTCTATAATTATGGCTTAGATTAGAAACAATTGGGCATGGTTTTCTACGCATTAGGTGTAGGATATGTATTAATGTATGCAGGAAGATTTTATATGTTTGCTATTCGTAGGTTACAATTTCACTAGAAATACTGACCAGAATAATATTTTTGGATTTATTTAGAGTCTTTCCAGAAATCTATGACAGGAAATTATCCCCATAAATATTAGAGAAGCCTCAGATTTGAATTCTTGCTCAACACAAAACTAATTTTAAAAGAAAATGCAGAAGACCCAGAAAATTTTACCACTTAATATGAGCATTCAATTATTTCTGTCATTTTTGAAATACTATTTGTATTATATGACTGATCAAAGCTGCAGCTATATAATCTGACCACTGGCTCAAAGATAGAAAGAGGCTAGGAATACACAATGAACCTATCATTTGGATAAACATAGTTTAATTTTCTGAGATTAAACTTTTCTGAATTACAGAGGAAGGGCTTATGCCTAAAATAGGAATTTTTTTTTCTAATGCTGAAAGGTCGTTGTGTGCTTTTAATGTTGTCTATTTTTATTCTAACTTTTCATCAGGATGCTTCATGAGATTTGAAAACACAGATGGCCCAAAGACCATGAAGCATCAGGTTATTATAAACATTAAGGGAAATGAAGATTAAACAACGTCTTAATTACAATATTTAGATGAAACGGTGCCTGGGTTTACATTGGGTTGAAGAATTCTTTGTCTGTACTATCCTCCCATGAGCCTTCCTTTGCCTGAAGTCACCTATTTTTCAGATAGGGTCCATTCAACTGCTCCAGTTTCCCTCCCTCACCATTGCCACTTGGCTCTGGTGGTCCCAGCACAACTGCTCAAACTCCCCTGCTCAGTGTCCTCCCTCACCACTGCCACCTGCTGCTGAAGGTACCATTTACAAGGGTTATAAATCAATGGCTCAATTCTAGACCTGGTTACTTCATTCAAAAAAGAAACATAATTCAATTTTGCTCTCCATTTCAGTTACATTTTGACATACCTCATTATGCTGGTTACCTTCACTTCTATGTGAGATCTGGTCTCGTGCTCCCAGCTTGTTGTGATATTGCAAGGGCTCAGCAACATCTTGCTGAGGTTTCTCTGCATTGGAAGGTGGCTTTTGTTCAGTTTGCCTTAGGCTCGGCATTTTGTTTAAGGTTTCTCTTAGTTGTTTATATTCTTCCACCTGAGCCTGTAATTTAAACCAAAAATCTCAATGTAGGTCATGGGCAACAAATTCAAAAGAAGTTAAAGGGTTATCTACAGAATGTGACATTACGTCAAAGTACATTCATGCAGTCCTGTCCCAAAGGAAGTTATTCGACCCATAATGTCTGTGCAACCTCAATGCATATCAGTCATTTTGTAAAACAAACACTCTTAGTAACATAGGCAGTGAATATTTGCAAACTCTCTGACCACAGCATGGGAGCTTTAAGTGGAAGGGTACAGTAAAGAACTGGCTGCACTGTCCTTCAGAAAAGGCACCGGATAGCGATCATTAGCACAAACTTGGATTTCTATGGCCTGCCACAGCCCATGACTATTGAAGTCAGTGGTGATACTTTCCTATTGCCTCCACTAGATTCTATGGAACTGAGTGTGGAGCAGCTGAGCCAACAGTCCTAAACAGAATTACTCCATGCTGCTGAAGAAATGGTCATGAAAAGCAGTGTTACTGATTTTATGGCTCTCCTTCCTACAAATATCTTTCCACTTTCTATCAATCACACGGTGGGCATTCCTTTAATTGTTTTCGATACTCCCCATCCATTCAGCTGGCTACAGCACTTGCCATAATTACAGAAATAAAAATTGATCAACAACAAAAGAAAAGAGACATTTGCTGCGGTCATGAGGCAGCAACTACGTTGACCACATGACCTATGGGTATCTAAACAAAAAGATTCATCTCTGGTGAAACAGTCCCAGTTCAAGGACAACTGTATTATCTGAAAGTGCTGTCCCCATGATTTGAGCCATTTCCCAGACTTCTATTCCTGTATTTGTTTAATGTAATAGTCAAACAGTTGCAGATTAAGCTGTTGGTCTATCCAACAGGGAAAATTATTGAATCATTTCCATTCTGGCCTGGAATAATGGTCTAACTATACACAGCTCTATTTGCTTTGAGAAAGAAATGTTGAAACAAAACAGAAATAACCTGATCAACGCATAAAACATTAAGTTACATGTTAGTAGAAACCCCCTATATGAGAATACGAGAATCCTCAATACCAAATAAGCCATGGCAAAGTCACACTCATTCTTCAACAGCATGTATGAATTTGCAGAAGCAACTGCAAACAAAAGAACATCCAACAGATTAAAAATGTCTTTAGATCAGAAAACATTCAATGCAAGTAATTTCGACAGCTTATATGTAGGGAAGTTAATGTGAAGGTTGCATTTTGCAAAACGCCATTGTCCAGAATGCAAAATAAGTGCACTGAGATTAAACAGAAATCAAGCTTTCAGTTGCAAAGTTTAGAGATTTTTTTTTCAATCTTTATTCACTCACAGAATGTGGATATCGCCCAACCCTAATCTGCCCATAGGGCAATTAAGAGTAAATCATATTGCTGTGGCTCTGGATTGACATGCTGACCAGACCATGTAAGAAAGGCAGTTTCCTTGCCTGAAGGACATGAGCAAAACAGATGTTTTTCCCCAAAAATCAACAACTGTTTCACGATCATCATTAGGCTCTTTATTCCATAATTTTATTGAATTCAAATTTCAACATCCACCATGAATGCAGGCACTCGGAACATCAACTGTGACTCTGGATTAATAGTCTAGTGACAGTACTACTACATCACTGCCTCCTCCTTTTTCTTCCATCCAAAATTATAATATTTCATTACACGTTCTCACCTTTGCAGCTGATAGGGAGTTCTTGTGGTCTTCTAAAGTCACTTGTAACTGATCATGCTGCAACAGTAAGTTCTTATGCAATTGCTAAGAAAAAAGAAAGATATTACAGTTCTGGTTACATTGACTAATAAATAAAACGTTAATAAGTTATCAAGTTATCAAGAATTCATGTCCCTTCTAAGTTACTCACCCCATCCTGACTTGCCATATGTATTTCTACTCCTTCACTGTTCCGGTGTCAAAATCCTGGCACTCCCTCCCCCAATATCCAGAGCATCTATCTACAGCAAATGGACTGCAGCGGTTCAAGAAGACAGCTCACCAGCACCTTCTCAAGGCTAACTAGGAATGGAAAATAAACGGCGGTCCAACCAATAACACCCACATCCCACGAGTTACATTTTTTACAAAAGTGCTAATGGACAGATTGCATGTGTTGCAAGAGGTTGCATGCCCTGCCCATTGCTTTTCAAATTAGCATCAGATGCTATTCTCATTAGATCAACCAGATTTGCATGAGCTGTTGAGGTACAAACTTCACCAACCACACCCCCACCAAAGCCTGTTTGGCAGGTGCCCCTGAATACTGACAGCAGATACTGGTAGGAATATTGCAGTGCATGCTACACCAACATTCTCACTGAACCATTCTACCTTGTTCCCATCTGATCGGGAGATGAAGAAAAATCACACCAAATTAAACTTATAGAAGGGGAAATTGGCAGGTTAGTCACAAAGTAGATGTACATTTGTGTTATGAGCTTGTGAAGAAACAGACTTGGCTAAAACTGCTCAAATTCAATTCATGCACAATCCTTACAGCCAATGCAAAGAGACCTGGTCTATGCTGCATTCACACTCAAGTTTCAGATATGATGGTGTTTATTCGCTGGACAATCTGATCCCTCAAACTCCAAAAATTCTGTTTTTGTGGACAGAGCACATTGCAAACTGCATACTCACCAAATTTAGTTTTGCACAAGACAAGACAATTCAAAAATTGATGATGACAATCCTCTATATCAATCATTTAGAAGTCCACTTTTTATGTTGCTGTCTACATATCAAAAACAGCAAATTATCATACAAGTGATGCTGATTAGTACAAACTTGACTTTACCCTCACATCCTGGAGTTGAACATGGACATCCTGATGAGCCTTCCTCAATTTTTTGTTCTCTTCAAGTAGATTGTAAATATTGTCTGCAAACACAGATGCTTAAGGTAAGTCGTAGCTCCATGTTATTAAATGAACTTTAAAGATATAATAAAGTTGAGATTAACATCCGTTTTGTTAAGCATTTTGGAGATGGAATTTTAGTTGCTTTTTTTTTCTGTGGGATATGAACACGCATGGATCTCCCCTAAGCCAACAGCACTAAGTGCTGTAGAGATGAGGGAACTGGTATGAACGTTGAATTACGTAAAGCAGGGCAATCAATTAATTACCATACGATGTTGAACTGACATCAGGCAAGTGGTGTTTGAGCTGCTCTTGCCAACACCCTCAATTAGCTTCCCTCAACTTGCACTATATGAAGAGATTATCCCTACTTTCAGGTCAGTTATTGGTTAATTTCTTCTAGCTTTTACAGCGTTAGAAAATTATGTTTTTTCTTTTATTCTACGCTTTCCCTAATTTCTTCAAGTTGCAAAGATCTACAGGGAGTGGTGTGTCAGGTGATGAAATACTTCTTGTTGATTTCAAGGCTTTTGTATAAACCAGCAGCTCCCTTAAATGGAAACACAAGGTGGCTTCCTGCTTGGAACACCAAAAAGTACTAAAATCTTTTGAGAAGTTAAATAATCAAATTTATTAATTAATTCATGACATATTGTTTTTAAGAAAATCAACAAATTAATTCTGCACTCTCCTTTGATGTGTGCTTTGCCTGCCCTACTGTTCCTAGAGTGGAACTTCAATAGCTGCAGCATAGCTGGCAAAAAGGCTGCTGACTCTCAATACAGGATAATGCAGATAACCTTGAAGATCTTGAGCAGCACTGACGGGATCCAGAAACCCTGGCTGTGGACTGCAACATCTCATTGAGGGGACGAGTCAGAGCAAAGTGGCTGTCAGGCAGCAGCAAAGGCATGGGTGAGATTGCAGGGGTAAAAGGGCAAATGCTATCTCTACACAAGAGGGCAGCAGATTAATACACCATGCAGTCACTGTTAAATGTCTTTGCAATCCTTGCAATTTGTTCGAGAAATATTACTGTACCATGTGACATCCTGCAACTCCCTTTGTACACTGTGATCTACATAAGCTTTCACAATAGCAGTCTGAGCTTTCACTTCTGTAGTCAGATATTGGTTGGCTGTTGATTGTGCTGTAATATCAGTCTGTAGACAATTGGGTCCACAAATGTGCTAATTGATTTTGACATTATTTTTATGCTGGAAAGGACAGACTCCAAGTTTCACACAAATACCTGTGTTAAGTTGGCGGTAGACTCCTGCATTTCTTGACTGATATCATAAACTTTCAAGCAGGTCTGCCAATGTAGCAACCATTTATGCATGTACACCCATCAATTTACTTCTATATTTTATACCATCCAAGTTCCCAATAAGTCCTGTGCAGCACAATATCTGTGATCCTGACCTCTGGCACCTGTGCTATCCTTGTGCCCAGTTCTAGCTGCAGCCCCTTTATGCCCAGTGACTCACCATGTGCAGATTCCACTTCTTTTCTATCCTCTAAATTACACAGTGTACAGAACTGAGCTGGTAGGTGACAGTGTGAAAATGAAAGATAGTGTGTCCTCACTAGCACTGAATTCTTGCTGTTTATTCAATGCCTAAGCAGGTTGTATGTTTTAGGTTTCTGAAAGGATAAAAGACACCAAAGATAAGGCTGTAGTGCAGGGAATGAGGAAAAGTAGGAGATGCATATACCATCTACAGCTTGTAGATCTGAGGGAAGTGCATGTGAGAAGGAAGATTAAGGTCTTCATCACTGCCTCAGCATTGGGTGCCTTAATAATGGCCAATATTATCTCCTTGACTAGGAGTAAGATGATGCAAATGCAGTTCTCCCTTTCCAATTAACTGCTGCTGACTTTGGTGGTGTACCACCTTATCTCACAAGACAGAAATGTACAGCAGTGAATGTTGTGTAATCCTCTTGGTTATGTGGCCATCTTGATTGAATAGCTGGCACTTTGTGTACACTCTGAGATAAGGGTGTGAGGCTTGCAGCAGTGCTAACTGTGTGAGGGTGCAGTGAAGTACTTGAATATTAGGCAAGTGTCCCGATTAAAATAGATAGTTGGTAGGTGAGTGATGGTCTTCTAGTGACCTGAGTAGTATTTCAGTTGGTGGAATGTGATATTTAAAGATCCTGACTAATCATGTGAGTTTGTTAAATAGAGACTAATCACGCATCACAGCCTTTTTCAGAACTATCCAATTCAGCTCTCTTGATGTTTCAAAATTTTATTCTCCAGATCAAATAATTAAGGTTATCAAATGGTCCAGGTAAGGAGCAATGTAGTTCAAAATATGTAACACCTTTGGAATTAGTAGTATCATCTATAATTTGTGTCTTAATCTGATCATTCAACAAGTTTGAAAACTGCTCAAGTGCAAGATTCAGTAATATACATAAAATAAAGAAGAACAAAGATTTGAATCCTGGAGATTCAATATTGCACTGACATTTTCAAATCAATAATATGAGCTCCAAAGGACCTAGTAATATGATTCAAATTGCATTTTCAGCAGTAATACTGTGATTAAGCCATTACCAGGCACAGTAACAACATACCTAACATTTCATTATAATCATTAAAATCTGAGCCTCTAGTAAATAATTTATCAGTCAACTAAAAGTGTGTAAAAAACTGAGTAGGGCATTTACAAGGCCACGGTACAGCAAAACGGCAAAACTTGCACACAAAGTTGGTTACCCTTATGGGCTATCAGCAAACCTGTGAAAGGAATACAATTGAATGAAAAATCTGAGAAATCTGGATATCTGAAACAGTAACAGAAAACTTTAGAAAGGTCTATTAGTTGAGTCAGGATCTGCAAAGCAGGACAAGATTAATGTTGAAGACAGTACCATTCTTTAGAATTGAAGATTAAATGATGAATGAGCATTTTGATGGAACCAGAAAGAAAGGGGCTAGAAAAAGTGGAGGGAAGAAAGCACAAGCAAACAACACACAGTTTCGTTGCAAATTTGATTTCTTTTCAATGAAATCTGTATTCAAAACCTAAGAAAGGAGAATTAAACAATTCTGTAAACAGTACTAAATGCAAATTAACATTGTCACTGCAGTGACAGAAATCAAATGGAGCAGAGCATTTGGCCACTATTGGAATGAAAATTGATATCTTCCAAAATGGGTCAAACAATTATTTTCCACCAGGTGGTTGCTCAGGCTGTGAAGGCAAAATGCTCTCCACTGTAACTGAATTCTTATCATTACCCTTCAGTTTAGAAATCTCCTGTTCCTTAGCTTGTTGAAGGCTCAGGTATCGTCGGTTGTGCTCACTCATCGCTCTATTGTGGTCCTCTCCAAGTCTTAGATGTTCCTCATGTAGGTCAGTATATTGTTTTCGCAGATCTTCATGTTGACTCTGTACACAGAAATCACAGGCTGAGTTGAGAAAGGCAAGCACAGTATCCTGGAAAATCTATTAAGTTTCTGTCAGTCTCCAGTCATAATATTCACTGGAAAATGGCAGAAGTCTGGTTGCGCCAAGTCTCTGCTATTTCTGGGATTTTGAGAGTACCTAGCAAAAGGCAAAACCTCTGCAATTTGCTTACAAAGCAAGGTCACTACATGAATGGTTACCATTTTATTGGTTCAGTTGCCATTTGGCATTACAATGAAGGTCTTTTTACTAAATGAAATGAGAGATACCCATAACGTACTAAAAGAGTGATCTGTAAGAATCTAGCTAATGCCTTGTGTCTTACTAATTTAATAGGCTTGAGAATCGATTCTCATCAGCCTTACTACTTTATTAGGAAACATAAAAGTAGGCGACTTTGTCTTTTCCCCAACCTTTTATTATCACATAAATCCTAGTAAACTCATAAATCTGACAGATTCACAGTAACATACAATAAAATAATTCCAGACAGGCCGGTATTCTGTCACCAAATCACCCTTTATTTACACGTGGAAAGTCCTTGACACTAATCAAGCTTCCTCAGAGCCAGTCTCAGAGTGAACAGAATCTCTGACCCTCCTGTTTATATCTGTCAGCAGGGCTCCCTGATTGGACCAGATTATCCGCCCCAATCAGGGAATTCATATTCTATGAAGTCCACCTGGCTGACATTGTTAAATCACTACATACAATGACCAATCTGTTGAGGAAAACCTCTGGTGTCTTTAGTTCAAGTTGCTGTCCTCTTACATCAGTGTACTCTCACTGTTATGTTTATTGGTGAACAATCCATGTAACTAGGCAGACCTCTTAGTTACCGAGGGAAACCATAACTGTAACTGGGCCAGCTGCATATTTGTGCTTGACAAGGTTATTTTACTTATTGTTCAACTCTGAGTTTGTCCCTTTTCAAACTGATATTATTCAAGAATATGTCTCTGATCTGCACTGCATCAGCATTTCCTCAATTATAAAAAAAACGAAAGAACTGCAGATGCTGTAAAACAGGAACAAAAACAAAGTTGCTGGAAAAGCTCAGCAGGTCTGGCAGCATCTGTGAAGGAAAAATCAAAGTTAACGTTTCAGGTCTGGTGACCTTTCCTTAGAACCTTCTGAGGAAGGGTCACCGGACCTGAAACATTAACTCTGTATTTTTCCTCAATTACACTTTTGTAATCATGTTAAATCTGTTCAGGTATTTTAAACTTACAAACTCGTAAACTAATTTTCATCTAAGAGTTTCTTGTCTACAGAAATGCAATAAATAACATCTGTAAAGCTGCATTTACCTTATTCAATCTACTTATTCTGCAAAGATATGTTTTAGACACATGCTGCATCCAATTTACAGTCTAATTCATGATGTTTTCGGCTCACTTCCAGTTCTCCAAATGTAGTAATTTTCCTATGATTATTCCCAGAATTTGCCATAAGTCAGGCAAGCAATGCTCTAGGAAATACTAACGTTTTCATACAGGGAGCAAGAGGGAGGTGGCTATGGTTTTACCACAGCTGGTAAAATACTGGAGATGCACTTGCACTTGCCTAGCCCACAACAATGTGGGGCCTTCCAAAACTGGCAAATTAGCCTCTAACGGTACACTTCAATGGGATGATAGATCAGGCAGCCAATCTGATTTCACTCAATTAACGCCCCAACTCAAATTGAAAGTTCAAAGTGTTCAAAGTGCTTTTCTAATTGTGTATGATTTGTTGAAGTTTTCTGGGTAAAAAGAAGACAGGACAGACATGTTAATGATTTTGCAGTTGGTAACTAAACTAATTGCACAAATTGCTTTCCCCTTTCCTGTTATCTACTAATCTGTTCAGTGGTAACCTGCGTGTTTATATTGGTGCGTTTTTTGACTAATAAACAGCAGTTTTGGGCTGGGTCTTGTACATATTATGTGCCAGAGATTCAGGAAAGGCTGCGTGTCTTCTTTTAGGGGATTTTAGCTTCTCCACTTTGGGTGGAGTCAAAGTACTAGCTGATACTGTAACTAGCATTGAGCTATAACAACTATCTGCCAACTTCCACTCTCAAGAAGATCACTTATGGTCCCTCTACTATTGTTAACAATAAGATACTCCTGTATATTTTATAATGTTCATATAAATGTCATGTTTCTTTTCTTTCCTACATTTCACTACATGCTCAGGAACTTCCTCTCTGTATTCTTTGACACAGTGTAATTTGTAGCTATTGTAACTGTTGTAATATAACTCCTCAAACCATTCCACCAATGCCTTTTGCCAAGTTCTCCACTAATGCAGTCATGCATGAGATATTTTGGCATATGGCAAGGCGTATGTCATGCAGATAAATTAGCGCTTTGAGTAAATGGGAGAAAACCTGAAGACAGGATCTGTAAAAATAGTTCAGCATTGGCTGAAAAGCAGGCACTGGAATTTAAACATTTTGTGTAAATAAAGTGTAAGAAGGAAAAGTCAGTGTTTGGTAATGAATACATGAGAAGATTTTCTTTATCATATGTTATCTCATAAGATTCAAGGCTTTGTGGGAGAACTGCTGGAAAGTAGGACTAATGCAGATTTAGAGTAGTCATTGTTGGTGCAGATCTGATGGGCTGAAAGGCCTCTTCTGTTTTGAATGATTCTATGATACTTGCATTGACAGATGAATTCCTTTATAAATATCAGGAGATTGTACATCAGCTGTTTTTAATAATCTGTCCTATTACTTCATATCAATCTGCCAAAATTTTAATCTGACTGCAGGCTATTCCCTTTATAACATGTGTAAACATAGAATTAAAATTTTATAACCATTTCTGGTGTTAGCCTCAGGCCAGGGGTGGTAAACTTGCCAATACATCAGAATGGTTTGGGTTCAAGCCTCACTATGAAGACTTGTACAATTTGACGTTATTCTTAATCCTGACCACATGTGATTATAAACCCACATACAAAATACCATAAAATTATATTTTTATTTTGTTTTAATTGATGGCATGAACAGGGAGTTAATTTAACAGAGGTGTATACAGAATCTTTAAAAATAAATGATCTTATTTAAACAAATTGCTTATGAAATAAACATTTGAAACTGACTTGTTCAAGTAAAAATGTTGATCAACAACAACCAAAAGCAGCTTCAGCAAAGTAAAATGTCCCAAAGCACTTCACAGGAACATTATAAAACAAAATCCAGTACACACAAGAGATATGGTAGATGAGTAGAAGCTTGGTCAAAGATGTAGGTTCTAAGGAGTATCTGAAAGGAGGAAAGAGAGGGCAAAAGGCAGAGAGGTGTAGGGAGATACTTCCCGAGCATAGGGGCATATAACTGAAAACGGAACAGTCCTTGGAAGGAGAATTATAATTGGGGCTGCTCAAGTGGCCAGAATTAGGTGTGCACAACTAACTCAGAGGGCTGTTGAGCTGGGGAGTATTACAGAGCTAGTGTGGGAAAAGGCACAGAAGGATTTAAAATCAAGGATGAGAACTTTAAAATTGAGGCCTTGTTTATTCAAGAACTACTGTAGGCTTTAGCAGGTAGAAAACACAGCTTAAAATAATAAATCAAGCCCTGGTGTTAGGAACATAGGAATAGGAGTAGGCCATTCAGCCCCAGCATTCTAGATCGTAGCTAATCATTTGCCTCAATATCATATTTCCACACTCTCAGTTTCAAAGTTACCTTGATGACATTGGATCTAGAAACATATCAATCTCTACCTTGAACTTAGTCAATGTCTTAGTTTCCATATCCCTCTGCGGGAAAGAATTCCAAAGATCCACCAACCTCTGCTTGTACTCTGCCACCTTCATCTCACTCAAGCCCTCCCTTTGTGTTATTGCAGGAGAAAAAGATCAACATTAAGCCTGAAAGAGATAAATTAGGTGGTGCAGTGCCCGACATTTGTCTGCTCACCCTCTGTGAGGAGAAAATCTTTGCCTTAGAGGACTATGACCGCTCAGGTGGTGATGTTGAGACCGCACTGTCCAGGCAAACAAATAATATTTATTGTCATGTGCCATGCTGCTCCATCATGCCCAGAATTCAACCACTATTTCATTAGACTCTCTGTCCCGTAGTCTACCCACACAGCCTCTGCGCCAAAGACAGCTGCCTCTCTGGCCAACATCTCCTTCACCACCTTTGAGGAAGGAGTCACATCTCCGTCAGAGGAAGAACTGGCAAGGCTGTCTCCCATATCCTGTCCAAGGAAGCAAGCCTCAGGCTGCCAGCACATTAAGCACTGCTGGAAACTAAACACCAACTCATCCACAGGCAGAAGAGGACCACTTGAGAAAATGGACCGAAGGTTGGAGGAGTCCACCAATGCCATCTATACAATGCTGGATTTGGCCTGCCCCAAGGACAGATTGGCAACTATTGTCTGCCAGATAGTCACAGCAATCTACAATCCATCACTGTGGCCATTGGTGCTCAGCATCAAAACATTTACAGTCCATGACAGATGACCTCGAGCAACTCAGTTCCATTTAATAAGATTTACAAGGAAATCTTGCCTGGGTTACTTTGGCTGACTGCGTTGTGCTGTTGGATGCTGAAGATACTGTTCCTTCTGGAAAATGTGCTTGTTTCCTACTCGATGCAATGCTAGAGCTCTCACTAATCCTCATCATGCATCACATCGCCTTGTTGCATCCTTCAGCTGTATGCAACAGAACAACCAAGGATGTAGTGGATTCTTCATTTGTGCTGCACTGCAATGAACCCCCAGAAAACACCCACATGGAAACATCACATGGGGGAGATATCTCAAGGCCGTTATTGACTGCAGTGGAAGAAATTGTTGCGTGGTAGATAATCTGAACATCATCACATGGTGAGCTGACAGCAATCTCTAAACAGAAGATAGCGTCAATGCCACTCTTTCATCAGCATGGCATTGCACAGAAGACTAATGTCTGAGGGCTTGCTGCACCTTTGCTGCATCATGGGGGCATCTTTTGCAGGAAACTCTGCACTT